ACCGGTCCACTTGGGACCGGCTCAGGCGGAACAGAGGCGGACTCTTCTGCCTCTCCTATACACCGATCAAACCGCAGGAGCCACCGAGCAATTTAAGAAGGTTTTTCTATACATTAAATAGTTTGTTTTCCTAGGGTTAGGGCATCTTGAATTTGACTGAATTTGATCTCTCTTAGTTTTTATTTTTTTGGCTCTGGCGGCATTTAGAGATTTGGGAGTGATAGATCCTCCTCTCAAATTGAGGATCGACTGTATCTTGATATTTTTCTTCTGCATCTTTGATTATTGCAATAAAAACTAATGTTTTTCTGATTTTTCATTGGAGTTTGGAAGTGTTTTCTCGCTATTTTGTCCGGAATTGATAGGATTTACTTGAAATTTTCAAGTGTTTCCTATGAGCTTGATTGTAAATAAATCATTATTATCTAAGTGGATTGTGTCATAAATGAGAATTCTGATATCAATGTGTGAATGAATGATTATATTAGAACAAATGTTGAAGTGATATCTATAAGATAAATGATAGGAAGTACTTGAGTTCGCAAGTAATCCTATAGGATCTACATGAGTTCGCAAGCAACCCTAGTGCGAAATTGGTAAAAACAGCGAGAATACCCAAGATCGGAGATGAAACAACCAAAAAAATAATAGAACTTGATTAAATACTCAAAGCAAAATAAGCTAGAAGAAAAATACAATTGATCCTCTATTCGAGAGGAGGATCGTCTCTCCCAAATCTCTAGACAAGTCTATAGCCCAAAACGTCAAAGAGACTACAAGAAGACAATAACCAAAGCATGCCTAGCTCTAACCCCTTCATGCCCTTTAAATAGCCCTCTCCACCTCCTAAAAAACTTCCTAATATAAGATAGTATTTAATTAATTAAATCAACTTTCCTAATATAAGATATTATTATTTAATACAAAAGATATCAAATCTTTTTTAATTAATTAAATCCAAATAAATTGGGCGTGGGCCCATCCCTTAGGTGATGTAGGAAGGAGGCGGGTCCGGTGGCGGTGTGAACCGGCTCCTGTATACCAATGGGGGCCCTGATGTAGGAAGGAGGCGGGTCAGGAGGCGGTTTGACCCGCCTCCTGTATACAAGTGTCGGCCCCACCTGGGCCGGCTGAGGTTGAGTCGGTTCCCCAGGAACAGACATATCAATAAACTGATTGAAAATAGATTGGTTTGGAAATGTACATTGGAGGGTAGAAAATGCACTTGTTAGACGAGCATATTAAATAATAATATAGAATTGGTAAGGAAAATATGAAGACCCAATGTTAAGTGGATAGAAATTGCTCGGATTGATTGGCAAAGAATATCTTTGATTTCTCAGACAACACTAAGTAGGAATGAATGAAAAGAAAGATTTATAATGTCAACCGCAAATAAGTGGGATAAGGTTGTAATTGCCATAAAGAATGCCTTATTAATAGTTATAAAAATAAACATTTAAAAGAGAGAAAATTTTTATGGACTATTATTTTCTGTTGGTTTCGCTTACATGTATATGGTTGTCTGCATTCTCTGATATGCCTAGATGTTGCTCAATGGCATACATTGATGTCTTTGCTTTTAGTATTGGTTTCTATTCCTTTATTTGCTTTTAGTAAGAATAATGCTACTCTCCTCATATAATTATACTCTTAAAATATGGCTACATCAATTGCCATGAAATGTCTATTTGAGTGAGAATTGGCAAAATAATTAAAGAACACTTGCAATGATAATAAAAGTTTCAAGAACCTTGGATTGTGTTGGCTCCTGCTGAATGGAAGGCTGCAGGTACCTTGAAATGGCTGGTTGATCCCTCCAACTTTGATTCCTTGATGGCTGGAAAGTTTGCCACCTAGACAACTGTTGTCTGCCCTCTGAGTTAGCCCAGGAAGCTCTATCAGGACTCTATGCACCACCGCCTGTGCCTAGCCTAAGGCTCCCAATAATTCTTGCACCTGAATGTGGGAGTCAAGAGCCCTGGAAGTATGATCTTGTTGGAATTCCATCTTTTGCTGTTAGTTCAAAATTTCATAGACCTGCCCATAGCTTTAACAAACATGCAAGAAGAAGGCTGCTGCTGTGGATTACAATTTGCAGGAGGAAGTCGGAGGATGAAAACTCTTGTTGTACCGCTCTTCATACTCTTGCTTGGGTTGAGCCAGAAGGCATCCTGTCCTCAAGTGTGGGCTGTAAGAACCCAAGGAAAATGGTCTCGGTTGTTGATCATCCTTTTTCCATCCACCTGGGCATGAGCCTCCCTGCCGCTACCACTCCTTTTATAGCCATTGGAGAACCTCCTGAGTGGTATTGGTAGATTTTAGTGGAGTCTAAGACTCCACCGCTTGAAAAAGCAGAAAAAATAGTCCTTACAACAACAAAAACATTATCAAGCCTTTATCCCACTACGTGGGGTCGGCTACATGAATCTTTTTTCTCCATTCCGTTTAAGAGTCAAATTCTCATTTAAATCTAATAAAGAAAAATCATTTTTATATTTTCTAATAAAATCTTTTTAGGTCTACCTCTACTTTTCTTAACATAAACGAATCTAATACATCTACTCTTCTAATCGGGTCATCGAAAGGCCGACATTTTACATGACCAAACCATCTAAAGATGTCTCTCACAAATTTTGTCTATCACTGGAACTACTCTAACCTTTTCCCAAATATGCTCGTTTCATATCCTATCTCTAAGAGTAAGTCCACTCATCCACCTGAGTATCCTCATCTCAGCTACACTTAACTTAATATTATGCTTCTTTTTTAATAGCCAAAATTTTACACCATAAAGCATTGCAGGTCTCACCACCATCTTATAAAATTGTCCCTTAAGATTGAGTGGTACTTTTCTATCACACAATAAAACCCCCGAAGCATTCCTCCACTTCAACCATCCAATCAACCATCCAACTTGAACTCTGCTAATAATGTCCCCATCTATTTCACCATCACTCTGAATAATAGACCTAAGATATCTAAAACGAGTATACTTGTTAATCACTTGATCGCTCAAAGTCACAAACCCCCACTAGATCTATTACTACTAAAATTACACTCCATTTATTCAGTTTTAAATTTACTCAAATGAAAACCTTTAGACTCTAAAGTTGACCTCCATAATTCGAGTTTGCCTTCAACTCTCTCTAGTCTTATCAACAAGAAGAATATCATTAGCAAAAAGCATACAACAAGATACATCCTCATTTTCTATTAACTATGATATTTAAAATTCATTATATATGTAAATATGAGATATGTGGAGTTTAAGCATAGCGATAAGATAATGATCCATTTTAATCTGAAAGATTAATAGGAGGGATTCTTGAGAAATTAATTGTTAGATACAAGAACACAAAATCATACAACTAACTGGGGTGATTTTTTTTTTTTTGAAAATTCTAAAAAAGATTTTGTATACGATATTTTTATTTATCTGATTTGATTTATATGATGAACCATCAACCACTGCTTTCAATTCTTTTCCTTTTTTCACCTCTTTTGGGTTTAACATATAAAGCATTATTTGTACAATTTTTTCTTATGACTATTAAGCTTTTTTCATAACTTATGTATGATGAAACTATGTCTAACATTGATGATGGATATCAAAGGTATTTTGTGTGCTTGCGAGGTTGACATGCATGCAACAACTCATCAATATCTCTGTTAGATGGGCTACAATTATGCTCAAATATGCCTGATGAATGCCACGTAACAGTTTTTTGAAGCCGATTATTTTGAAGACGTGCATAATTGATTTGATTGGAAAAAAATGATCATTTATTTGGTTTTGTATTTTTTTTTTCATTTTTTAGCATTATGAGATTGATTTTACTTACAATGTTAGCATATTGTAAAAGTCTATTGGTGATTTTTACGTAGTAATCTTCTTTTGGTGTTAGTTATATTAGCCTTCAGCTATCCCTCCATCAGGTTCATTATGGTGTTAAGTTCTTGAACTTTTTCTTGTTTTGCTAGCCTGGAATTCTTCATATATTTCTGATTTGTTGTATGTTTTGCAAATCTATCTGAGGCTATCTTGGTATTGCGACTCTATTTGAGATTACAGTTTAAAGGAAATAGATATGTTACTTTGTTAACTTTCTGCTGTTGGTGGAAGGGATTTTCAATTTTTTTTGTAATTCTAAATAAGTGTGCAGTATTTACGTAACTCATCAGGTGTTCAAGAAGTTTTTCAATTGGATGTGCAGTCTCTTTTGCTTTTGGGATTCAGTTCCTTAATCTACTAAAGACTTGAAGAATTTTGGGATAAGCTATTTCCTCTATTAAGTGGTGTGCTTGTTTTTTTGGGTGAATTCTGTGTTGTCTTTTTTAATCTCCTGTCTCTTCTTCCTACTAAGTTTTTGGTTTTTGTTTTGGACATAAGATCTATTTAAATTTGCCATAATCTTGGTTTCCATTGACTGCACAGATTTCAGTCATTTGCACACCTTTTCTTTTTCTTATTTTAATCGTTAATTTTTAATGGAATGCCATTATTTTTTTTTCTCTGAATTGATTTTCATCTTTTCTTCAATTTTCACTAATGTAGGTGTTATTTGTTTTGGATTACTGTTTGTCTTTTAAGAATTTCAGTTTATTGTGCCATGTAACTTTTTTTTTTTCATTGTATTGGAAATCCTGAACTCTGGGATCTCCTATATTTGCTTACTTTGTTATTATGTCTTGGATGCGAAATTGGAAACTTATACCATCATTATTCAGTTTTTGTCAAGTGGAATCAATTATGCGTTATAATCTCATATAAGATGAGAACTCATCGTTCCAAAATTTTGTGCGCAGTGTTGCATAGGTCATTGGTGATAATTTATAGAAATGCATATGTTAAGGTTAACGCAATTTGTGTTAATACTTGGTTTATTAAACATTTAAACATAAGATTTTGAATTGCTCTCAATGTTTGATAACATGCTTGATGGTTCATGCTATTTCTCCACAGTTTTTCATTAATGGTACCTGTTTTCTGATACCAGGGCTCATACATTCATCATAAACAGCTTAAAGCGGCACAAGGTGTGAAAATTTCTGCGCAGGTACCGTTAATCTTTCAACCATGATTCAAGTTTTGCGTAATGTTAACATTGTAAGTTTATTGAGAGTTATATTCTATATATGTTTTTACTTTCAGGGCCTTGAACATGCTATTGCAGGCACTGCTTTATATGCTGTAAAGCCTGGTGACGATATTGAAGCCATAAAGGAAGCTGTAATGCATGATATGAACAAAGTCATGAGCCGGATTGACAAGAGTGGGGAGGGTGTTTATGTGCAAGCCTCAACCTTAGGTTCTCTAGAAGCACTAACAGAGTTCCTAAAGAGCCCAGCTGTTAATATTCCCTTCAGTGACTTCAGTATAGGTCCAGTACACAAGAAAGATGTTATGAAGGCTAGTGTTATGCTTGAAAGGAAAAAGGAATATGCAACTATCTTAGCTTTTGATGTGAAAGTAATGCCGGAGGCTCGTGAGCTTGCAGAAGAGTCAGGTGTAAGGATTTTTGTGGCAGATATAATCTATCACCTATTTGATCAGTTTAAGGCTTACATAGACAACTTAAGGGAAGAGAAGAAGAAGCAAAGTGCTGAGGAGGCAGTCTTCCCATGTGTTCTTAAGATAATGCCAAACTGCGTTTTCAACAAAAAGGATCCTATTGTTTTGGGGGTAAATGTTCTTGAAGGTATTGCCAAGGTACTATTCCTAATCTCTCTTGATCGCTATTCAAATTTGATGGGTTATTTATGCTTATAACATCAAAATCTTCTTTATTAAAACAAGTACCTGAAGCTTTTTTTTTTTTTTGAGCCACTGACCAATGTATTTGCATATGCCAAGATCGAACCATTTGTAATTTGACAAATGTGAGAAATGCTGATTTGAGTTTTGTTGCGAATTTTTGTATTTGAGTGATTAGTTGAAAAATGGAGATAGTAGAATGTTAGTTTTGCAAATAATCAAGATTTATATATTATATATGAAATTGCTTCAAATTTAATTTGTTGGAAGTGTTACAAAATTTGTTTTTGTTTTAGTTATATGCTTTTTTGTTGCATAATTTGGAACTTTTCAATAGATTTTTTATTTTTGGAAGTGTTATGCTAACTGCTGCATGATTGAGAAAATTATTATGGTCTTAAATTGGTATCCATAAAATGTTGATAAATACTTTATTAACTGCATATTTGAACTTAATCATGAATCCAGATTGGAACCCCTATTTGCATTCCTTCGAGAGACTTCATTGATATAGGAAGAATTGCATCTATTGAGATTAACCACAAACAGGTTGATGTAGCTACAAAAGATCAGAAAGTAGCCATAAAGGTAGGCACAATAAATTACACATTACTTGATCTGTGGCTCTCTATTTATTGTCCTGGCAGCAACTCTTATATTTTTACCTTCACAGATAGTAAGCAACAGCGCTGAAGAACAGCAGAAGATGTATGGAAGGCACTTTGAAATAGAAGATGAGCTTGTTAGTCACATCTCTAGAAGATCAATAGATGTTCTAAAGGCAAATTACAGGGTAATCATTATTTAAAATTTGAACTTGTTACTTTCTTTTGCAGTAGATATTTTTTGTTACAGCTTTTTTGTGGAAATTGATGGCATCAGTAGATGGGGGATAAATGGTAACATTTTAGTAATTCCTTGTATAATTGAAAGTAGGTAGAAAAGAAATATATGGGACTGTAAAATTCTACCTTGGCCCTCTGCAGAATTATATAATATTATATAATGGAAAATTTTTTGGGTTAACAATGTCCTTATAGATAGAATGTGAAATGAGTATATATGTGAGAAGGTTGGAGTAGTTGTAGTGACAGGTAATATTAGATAGGGTCGCCTTAGAGGGTTTGTTCACATAAAACATTGGTCTTTTGATGACCCTATTTGGAGAGTAGATGTATTAGATACAGTTTATATTACGAAATGTAGAGGTATATCTAAAAAGTCTTGGTTAGAAAATATTAAAAATGACATTTTTATTAAATTTAAATGAGAATTTAACTCTCAATAGATCACCAAGGAGAAAAAAGGATTCATGCAGCCAACCTTACATGATAGGATAAAAGCTTGTTATTGTTGGTATAATGTTCTCATCAAATTTTGGTTATAATGAATCTCAAAATTTTTAGATTTAATTTGAGATTAGTGCATCATAATATGAATCAATTAAAATTTATATTATATTAATCTCAAAGTGAATTCAATGATTTTGAAATCTATCATAATAAAAATTTTGATCTAAATATCTGAGTTTTTTTTTCATATATAATAATATTATGTAGAATATTGTAATTGAAGATATATTATATTATATCATATATTATACTTTATGCTATGTTATTATACATATTCTACTCTATAGCTTACTCTTGTGATGTTAGAATTGTATATTATAGTTTTATACAAAGCATGAGGATATGATTGAATAATTTCTCTGTTTGATTTCTTCCAGGATGATTTGTCCAATGAAGAATGGAGGCTAGTAGTCAAGTTAAAGAATGTCTTCAAGATACCTTGATTCAAGGAAAGATGTGAGCCCACTAGGTGCTGAGCTTATCCTCGGGTCAGTTTGGGTCGGGTCGGGTCGGGTTGAGCTTGAATAACTTATGTCTTTTGACTGCAAAGGTTAACTCTAATGAATCAACTGGAGCTTAATGCCATTAAGCACACGTCAAAATAGTCGGCTTCATAAAAAAAAGTCACGTTCTTCCTCATCTGTTACTTCTGTCCATTGTCCTTTCTCCCTACCGTTTAGTAAAAAAAGGAAGTATTGGATTTTGTTTTTCAGTTTTCTTTTTTCCTTCGGGTTGATGGGAATGGGAAAATACCTGATTGGGGATTCAGATGTTCAATTTCGCATGATTTATTATTTTTATGAAATTGAGGGCAAAATACTGTTGTCAAGTTTCTAGTGAGTTGGTTTTGTAGTTTACATAATAAATATCTGATCTATGATGGAGCTTAAACCCAGCAAAACGATTTCCTTCTGTCTTTTTAGTTGCAATAACTATGGAAAGATGAATTAAATTAGCAATTTCTATATGCAGGTGAAGGAATATTTTGGTTCAGAACGTTCTAATTGAAATTTGTTTTGAATTTAACAGTTTACTTCTAAGTTTTATGTTGAATTTACTACAAAATAAACTTTAGAAAATAAGGCAGTGGTTGTTACTTGTGTATGCTTGAATTTCAGTTGGATTAAATCAAGGTTCAGTTTTAAGCAGCTATCTTTTTGCTCTAGTCATGGATGTTCTTACTAGATATTTGCAAGATATGTACCATAGTGTATGCTTCTTGTTGATGATATATTTTTATTGATAAGATTAGAGAGGGAGTTGAAGGTAAACATGAATTATGGAGGTTAATCTTAGCATGTAAAGGTTTTGGTTTGAGTAGATCTAAAATTGATTAGATGATTTGTAACTTTATTTGTAATTGAACTGGTGGAATTCAAGTGTGATTTTGGACGATCTACGATCAAGTCATTAATAAGAGTACATGTTTTAGATATATGAGGTATATTGTTCAAAGTGATGGTGAAATAGATGGAAATATTATTAATAGAATTTAAATTGAATGGTTGAAGTGGAGGAATGCTTTAAGGTTTGTTGTGTGATAGAAAAATGCCTCTCAAATTTAAGAGAAAATTTTATTAGATGATGGTGAGACCTGCTGTATGGCATAGAATGTTGGTCATTAAAAGATAAGTATAAAATTAAGTGTTGCAAAGATGACGATACTCAGGTGGATGAGCGGTATCACTCTTTGAGATAAAATGTGAAATGAGTGTATATGTGAAATTGTTGGAATAGCTCTAGTGCATATATGATTAGACAATCCACCTTCGATGGTGGTCATATGAAACGTCGGCTTTTCAATAATCCAGTTATGAGAGTAGATGTATTAGATTTGATTTATGTTAAGAAAGATAGAGGTAGACTTAAAAAGACTTGGTTAGAAAATATTACAAATTGTCTTTTTTTATTAGATTTAAATGAGAATTTGACTCTTAGTAGGGAGAGATTATTCTGTTCGGAGATCAAACACATCTTACCGTCTAGAGATGTATCAAGTGCATCCACGTTATCCAGTACCGAGCAGTAGCGAGCTGTGGTACCAAGTAGGGGGTGATGTGGCACATTTTATTATAATGTAATGAATAAATTGTATTTAAAATGTAATGAAGTCTGGCCTTTCCCCAACTTCTATCCTCTTTCATGGTTAATTATTATGTGTGAATGCCAAAAGTTATCCGAGAATTAACCAGAACACATTATGTTACCCCTTGCTCGATACTATGGTTTGGTACTACTGACATTACTCGTTCTGATTGGTCGCTAGATGGCGGTCTGAGTCTGATCTCTGCACAGAATAATTTTCCCTTTCAGAGCCCATAGATTGCTAGCGAGTTAGATCTACTCACGGGAATTTACATACAGTTCTACATACTATAAAAGTCTGGCTGTTTGGCTGATTTTTTTTTTTTGGGACATTTAGGCCATTTAAGGCAAACTCACACACACAACACATACACAGAGACTCGAACCTTAGATCTCTTAGTTGGAAGCCATAGCCCTCAACGAATAGGCCAAGGAGAGTTGTGTGCTGTTTGGCTGATTTAACTAATGCTTCGTTTTGAAAACTTAGACAGCTCTCTTACTATTTACAGTCATTGTAAAAATAATAAATTTTTAATTGTAAAGTTATCTAGAGAAAATAATCTCTTAAAAATATTGCATTGAGTATTTTTTTAATATAAAATTTTTAAATGTACCAAAACAATAATGATTAAATAGAAATTTTTGATCTGATCTGAAAAGTAAAATTAGGAGTGTCAATTTCAGGTCACGGGTCGGGTTCGGATCGAATTCGGAACTGATCCGGGTTCAAATGGGTCAACTCTAACCCGACCCGGGTAGACAAACGGATCGGATTTTCGTGTCGTGTCAAATATTGACAGGCCTAAGTAAAATCATGCGAAAATTGTACCAAACAAAATTATAGGATTTAACGATTTAGGAAATCCTCTAAAATCAAAATTTAGTAAATTCTGAAAATTATTTGAGGTAAATTTTGTTTCAGCTATTTATTTTTATATTTAAATCTTTTAATTTAAATAAAATTTTAACACTAATTATTGATGATAAAATTAAATACAACACACACTCGACCAATAAAAGCTCGCCCTTAAACAACCAAAGAATAAAAAATATTTAGAAGCAACTATTCTTCTATTCCCTCAAAAAATACAAAGTAAATAATCGAATTAAACTGCATATTTGAGTTGTTGCTTGTGATTATAATCAAAGTAAATAAGATTCTAATTAATTATTAATTATTAAATCATTAAGCTAAATTAAGACAATAATTTTTATGTGGTCATTAAATAATAAATAGTATAATTTTTACTTATTATATTTGTATCTAATTTATTTGATTGAGCATTGATAACATTAATGAATGTTTTTTTTCATAATTTTAAAAATATATATTCTTTGCTCGATAAAATAATTTGGAATATTAATATGTCCTAAATAAACAAATATTCTTGCATTTGTCGTGAAGAATACAAGGAATAAAATAAAATCTTGTTTCAAAACTTAAGTTTCATACAAAATCCTGATGTTTGTGCATTTGTCTAAGCTGAACAAGCATGAATTTTGGAAAAGAGGTTCGGACGACAACAAGATCAATAACAACCTCATTCTGTAAACTCATTTGGATAATATCTTAGTTATCTTGGAGGAGCTGATATCATTCTTTAATATTATTAGATTGTCATTACTAGTTATTTTAATTTTTTGCTATCAGAACTTGTTCTTAATTTTGTTTTTTGCTTTTTATTTTTTAGTTTGGTAATATATTACTCGATATCCTTCAAATATGTATGAGGATTTTATCTTAATTTTTATATTAATATTGTATCTTAAATAAATTAATTACGTAAAAAAAATATTTTAAATTCTTAAAAATAGTGTGTTTATAAATTATTATTTCTGAATTAATAATAATAAAATTCTACACTTAAAAAACTAAAATTAATAACCTAATTTTTGGATTTTAGAAAGAATTAGCGGGTGAACCTGTTCACCCTCACTTGAATAGCATTTTTTTGGCGATCGAATGGAGCAAACCAACTACGCCAATTGAGTGTTAGGTGCTCGAGTGGAGAGGCTCTAAAGACAAAGTGAGTAGTTGCAAGGGAAGTTAAACACTTAAACCATCTTCTTTCTTCTCCCTTTCATTCTTATTCGAGGCAATTATTGAATAAAATATAGAAAAAGTTGTCCTCATAGCTTGTTAGCGAAGGCGATTCTGGCCTGTCTACCCCTTTTTAAAAAAAATTAAAATTTTTTATTTATTTTTTTCTTTTAGTTTTTTTATTTTTAATTTTTTTCCTTATATGAACTTATATTTGTTCAAAGTTTCACCACCCTCCAGGCCTCCACCAAAACAAGAAGCAAAGAAAGCAAGAAACTGTCCAAGTAACCCAGAGCATCATACTGGAAAGAATCCCAAACCAACTAGAAGGCTTGATTGCTTCATGATTAAGTGAAAAAATCTATTTATTTGTGCTTGTAACTATCCCAAATGTCTTTCGCTTGAGCTTATTTGAAGAGTTAAACCCTAAGTGTTGCAGGTAGAGGATAATGTTGGTTCTGCTCTTGAGCTCTCAAATGTGGGAATTGACGAGGAAATTCTGCAAGAGGTGGAGGCTATTTTAGAACCTGTGAAAAACCAGACTTGGCCGAGCGGAATTCAGCGCAACTACTAGTTGAGTATATCCTCAATAATAAAGATGTATTCTAATAATGAAGAAAAAAATTAGAAGTTGAGCATATCCTCAATAATGAGAAAAATGATTATGTGCGGATGCCAAACGTCATCGGAGACCAACCAGAATGAGCCATGTCGGTGACGTGGCTCGGTACTGCTCTTGATATTATTAACGTGGCTCATTCTGATTGGTCTTCAGACTGCATTTGACATCTGCATAGAATAATTTCTGCACTGATGAAGATGTATTGTAATAATACATACTACATATTTTTAATAAAAATTAATCATGTATGCATAATAAAAATATGGTAACATAATAATTCTAATAACTCTTCCATCATTTTCTATGATATATATACTTTCGTTAAATTAATAAAAAATTATGTTATCAAATAATGGGAAATTTACATACATACCACTTTATACCATCCTATTTACATATCTAACACCCAAAATTTTAATATTACATACATACCACTCTATATTATTTTAATATCAAATATGCCACTCATATTTCCTTCCTACCACTCATATATTTATTTCCACCACTCATATTTGATATGAAAATGAACTAAGGGTGGTATGTATGTAATATTAAAATTTTAGATGTTAAATATGTAAATAGAATATTATAGAGTGGTATGTATGTAAATCTCTCTTTTAAATTTCTTGCCTAAATTTATACACAAAATATTCCGTTTTTTAAACTATATATATATCGCCCTGCTATCTCTTTCCATAGCTTTCCCTCTCGCTCTCGAGCGCGCGCTTTATTTATCTCTGATAGCCTCAGGGCTCAGGTGATCTCCCACACAAACCTAAACTGAAAACCCTATACCTAACCAATGCTGGACCGAAGGGATCGCGGCTTCATGTCCTCGTCTCTCCCTATGAAGCCCTCGCCGCCATCGGTCGGCCAACTTCTCCAGCATCAACTTCTTCGATAACCTTCCGTCCGTCCCCCTTCACTCTTAAGAATTTTCCATTCCTCACTCTCCATTTTTCTCTGTTCTTGATCAGCTACTAGGGCACAACTCTCTTCGAAACCCTCCTCGGTAACTGGCTTCAAAACCGTGGCGTCCATCGCGACCGAATAATCATCTCCGCCAAATGCGGCCGGTACGATGACGGATTCGATTTCTGAGCGGATAGCTTCACACGTTGCTTCGACGAGGAGCCTCATCAGACTCCGGCCCCATTTCGTTGACATTCTCCATTGTCAGGACATCGAGTTTGGTTTGTTCGATCAGATCG